TATATATATATGCATAGGCTTCTTCTTGTCTTATGCAGTTGGAAGAAACAGACTTTAAAAATTATTTTGTGAAAATCTGTTATTCATTCATTCTTGGCTTTCCTAATGATCCAGTTATTTTCTTCTGTATCCCCATTGTATTCCCATCTACCCATTTATGTCATCTAACATAATTATTTTTCCTGAACTCAATTCATTCAGAATTGTGCACAATTTCAACTCTTGTTCTTCCATTACAATTTAATGGAATTTAGAGAACTCTTGTTCTTCCATTAAAGTATGGGTACCCCAACACTGGAACCTTTTAAGAAAAGACAGAGGGTTGATCTAGATGACCTCCAAGGTCCCTTCCAAGTCTATTACTGTTACTGTTACATTGCCATTCATTGGAACGTAACATGCAACTTTCACCGATATATTAATTCCCACTTTCACATGCACTTACAATGACAGTGACACATTCATACTTTCTGGCATACAATTTTGCTCTTTCATTTGTAATTATATTTAAGCCTTCACACCTCCGCATCACTTCATCTCCATTCCTCAAAATCAAACCTTCATTCAGATAACATTATTTCCTCCTCCTTTCTTTTAAATAATTTGAAGCTGCTATAAAGGCAAATTTTCAGTAGGAAAAACATTGTCATTTATTAGCTTTAAAAAACCATCTTAGGGCCAATCTGGTATGGTTTTGAAATTAATTTTGTTAATTTTGAAATTCTGTTTTTTTAATACAGTTAGTGTCACAGAATTAAAGGACAAGAAATCTGATATGCAGAAAATAATACATGAAAGGAGTATTCCATTTATGTTCCCGAATTTCATGAATGTGAGTAGTACTACATAAATTAACCTGTTGTAATAGATAGTTTTAATGGCTTAATGGATTTTTGATATCATTCGCAAAAGGTCGATGGTGGAATTATAAATGAGCTATAATAACCTTCTGCTCAAGCTTTCATTAATCTTTCAACTGTTAAAGCACTAATTCATAAATTTAAAGGGTCAAATCCAAGGAATGATTGCTGAAGTTTGCTAAGTCCACTCCCTCAATACCTACAGAGACATACACTCATCTGAAAATAGTTTTGGGAAGGAACCCTTAGTAGCCCAATGTGCTGATGGATTTCTATGGGATTTGCCCTTGTTGACAAAAACCAAGTGATGCAGAATTTAAAATGGCAGCAGGGAAAAAGCCTCCCAAAATGTTTGTCTTCTAACAGAGGTCTTCATTTAGATGCAAATATCACCAGATCAGACACAGTGGATGTTCTCCACTCCACTTGTGACAAGATCGTAAAGCCTCCACTAAATGCATAACAGTGTGTTTCACAGTAACCTCTAACTAAGTGAAGACATTTAAAGAAGCCTAATAATATCTTTT